TTTTTTTTTTTTTTTTTTTTTTTTTTTTTTTTTTTGTTGGAGGGGTGGGAAGAATATTTTAAAACGGGAAGGAACTCCCCATCTTGGATTCTGTTTTTCGGATGAAAATAGTTAATATTTGTAGGACTCTAGATTTCAACCGACTTAGTCGTTAGAGTCATTTTAGTCTTAAGTTCAAACGTGAATATAATTCTTAAAACAACATCATTGAAATCATAAATTTCATAATAAAGTCATGTTGTTACGAATATGATTCAGAAATAAAATTAAAAACAACAATAAAAATTAATTTAAAACATGAAAAACATAACCACCTATTATAACTCGAGTCTAAGAAATTAAACATGTTATTAGTCTATGCACGTGTTATGTTCTTTGATTATGATGGGTCCAGGACCACATTGTTCTTACCTGAAAAATGATGTAGCACATGTTCGGAGTATTTTAAATAATACACAATAAGTGACCCCACTAATAAAGAGGGTGAAAATGCAAACACGTGCAATAATGCTCTAGAAACCTATCATTAAAAGTTTCCAGTACAGACTAAATTGGATGTGCAGTACTTTCCTATACACAACCCACGTGTGCGAGGGTGAATCCCCAGGCAGTTTGCACTCCCCTTGACCCATCATAATGAGCTAGTTGTCTGTAGTGACGTCCGGAAGTCTGTAGACCCCTAAGTGTCATGTACGACATGATCATTATCATCATCGTAACGTACGCGTCCGTACTCATCATCATAAAAGGGGAAGCATCCCGATGCTTATGTACATACAAAAATGTGATAACATGTAGAATCTCACATTTTAAACACTTTTCGTCGTCATCATTCATCTAGTTTTAGTTACAACAATTTTTATTGGAAAGATTGAATGTGATAACCTCTAGTATAGGCCTTGAAAAGTTGCACAATTTTATTTTCAAAAGAATATCTAATTTGGTCAATTATTCTCAAAGTTATTGCCTCTCCAACATTAAATTTCAATAATTTTGCCTTTGGAGAGCATTGAGATCGCATTCGCATGCACTCGCTTGTATGATCTAATATATGCACCCTAGTGGGCAATTATATTTTTGTCCTATCCCCTCCATACAATTTCATTTTAGCTAAATAAACCACTTGTTCTCCTAATATTTTCATGCTCTTTACAACTATGTTTATAAATTGACCAAAATATTATAAGTTTAAAATTTAAGTTAAATGGACCAAATTGAATGATTTTTTTTTTCTAGCTCATGTAACTTTCTCGAGGCCTACATGTCGGAAGGTATTTGGTTCGACCTTTCCAACTAAAAAGGATTACGTTCAACTTCCCTTTCTCCTCCCGTTATCTTTTACGTTCAATTCCTGGCCACCACACAGTAGTTATTCGCTCACCCAAGGTCTCTCTAATCTCTTGGTTAGGATGGTATCATTTCATCTTTCAATGAACAATTCTTTAACCAAAAGTAAAGTCATGAGAGTTTATGTTCAAAGTGGGCAATATCATACCATTGTAGAGGTTTGTGATTTCTAACATAGTATCAAAGTCATGTCCTTAACTTAGCTCGGTTAATAGAATCCTCAAGTATAGAACAAATAAGTTATGAATCTCAAAGATGTAGTCAAAAGTGACTCAAGTGTCGAACAATAATTATATTTTGTTTGAGGGCTTGAGAGAAGGAGTCGAGCCTCGAGTAATGAAAGGTTGTTCGAGAGCTTTATAGGTCTCAGAGAAGACTCTATGGTGTACTTTATTCGAGGGGAGAATTGTTGAGGATTGTTGGGAGGGAGTCCCACGCTGGCTAATTAAGGGGATGATCATGAGTTTAAGTACGGAATACATATGAGATCTTTCGGGAAAATAAAAAACAAAAATAAAGTCATGACAACTTATGCTCAAGGGGATAATATCATATCATTATAGAAGTTCATGATTCCTAACACTTCTACCTCCTCTCTAAATCTTTTTTCTAGCTAAAACTTGCATAGAAAGGGCCAAAAACGGCCCCAAATAGGAAGGATCTTCCTACAATGTAGGAACAAAGAAAGAGACGGACAGTCCTACCGAGACTCCGCCCTACCAAGACTCCGCCCTACCAAGTATGGACCTCCATCTTAGCGACCCAAAAAGAGCTTAAACGAATTAGAACAAGCCATAAAAGCGTTATGACAACAACAACATTTCTAAAAGGAGTATATTAGATTCACAAATCACTTTTACTAGGAAGACATCAAACCAAGCAACTTGGGCCCCACACACACCGTCCAACGATACGAGCAAATAAATGATCTAATTCATGAGCAACTTGCATTCGAAGAACAAAAACATGGGCCCAATAGAATTAGAAGCTCTAAGAACATAACGAATAAATTATAATCGATTAACATATTAAAAACCCTAGCTAACCTTTTCGAAATACACTAACAATCAACATACAAGAGTTTGCTCAAAATAAGAGGTAAATGAAGATACTAGACCAAAAGAGTAACCAATGGGAACTATGTGAATGTTAAAAGCTCATCAGACACGCCAAGTGTCAGAGAACACAAAATATCTAAATCTTACCATTATAGATAAAGGTTAGGCCATTAGTTTTTTTTTTCATTAATCTCAATTTAATTAATTAATGTTTTTATAATAACAGAACTATTCTTAATTATAAATAATTTTAGTGTTCGGGAGTGTCCTTAGTGTACAACAATTCCAACGCTTTTGAATCACTTAAATTGAAGCTAAAACAAAAAAAATTATGGTAAAAAAAGATTGAACCAAGAATATCCAACATGGTGACGTGGCATTTGAGTTAGTATCATAAGCCAATCAAATTATGACACATGGAGGTTTGGAAAAATACGAGTGGGGGTTTTGCTTGTTTTTAAAATTGAAAAAAAAAACTAATTATATATATTAATATATTAGAATTAGAATATTTGAATTTAAAATTAAAGAAAGCACTCCATATGGCAGGTTATGATTGGTAATTATTAAAAAAATAAGAAATCTTTCAAAATACTATATTGTTATTATTATTATTATTTAAAGAAAGAAACAGCCCTAGTCATTATTATCAAGGAAAGAATTTTTTTTTTTTACTGTTGGTCATTATTACTATTATTATTTTAAATCAAAAAGAAAATTTCAAATTTCGCCATGATTTTTATTTGCGGTCTTTGTATTTAAACTCATCCACTTCTCTATAATCAACCCACATATTTTTTTTTTGAACCCTCTCAGTTTCTAATTTTTATTTTTCATTTCATTTTTTAGAATTTCCTATTGTATTATGAATATATTATTATGAGTATTCGAATTATAAATCTATTTCTGAGTGATGGTGGTTTGTTCTTCGAAATTTCAATATTTGTAACAGATTTATTCTTAGTCGTGGAAAGGATTGAGCTTGCTTTTGAACCAGTAGAAAAAACAGTGTAGCGTTTTGTTATGATATGTGAAAAAAGTCGGTCTTTATTCAAATTCTCAAGAAGCGCTTGGAGAGTGGAGTATGCCCAGTTTGATCGAACCACTATAAAAACTGTGACGTTATATTCTCTGACTCTTTCCTATTTAACAGTGAAATTACTCTTTTGATTTGTTGTCTTTCATAATTATTTATTGTTTTGAATAGAATTATTATTATTAATTTTTATTTGATCTAACTGTTTATTTAAAATACTATTCATCCCGCTTTAAGGTTGTCATATCGATCCAACATAGACAACAATTGAAAACGACACAAAACTCCTTATGTGAAGGAAAAAGAGCGTTGGTCCACAGTATCGAAATGGAAATGGAAATGTAGGATTTATGTTGTAATTAATTATTTGATTTTAATAATAATTTTGATAAGTTGTTTTTGCAATTTGTCCAATCAAAATATTAATTATTATATAAAATAGAAAATTTAAAACTAATTAATTAATTAATTATCTTGATTGTGTCCTACGTCATTCTTAACCATCACATGCAATAAAAGC